ACGAGGGTGGCCCCACAGCCCCTGGCACAGGGGCCATCACTGCCATCATTGAAAGCAAGAGTTCATGGGCAACACAAAGCCTGAAACTCCTGAGCAACCTCCCAGGCGTCAGGGTCACCTCACAACACCTCCAAGACCAGAACAAGGAAGGTCTCCTCACCGTGAAACCAGCCTGAACTCGTTAGTACACAGACTGGGACCAGTTGAATAAAGCTTGCTGAAAAAAGCCTCCCCCTTACCTTTGAACCTCTTCAGCATGTCCCTCATGCCCAGGCAGCGCTCGGGGATGCTGTAGTTTTCCTTCAGGGTCACAGACACAGCTTTGGGGGACTGGAACTTTATCTCCTCACACCTGAAAGGAGAGCAATGCCCATGGCTGTATCCAGAGCCTCCAGCACAGCCGCTCTCTCTGGTTTAATGCCTTTTTGTTTGGCATGGAGCAGACATGAACATCTCACTTAGAGCCTGGAGGCAGCCAGGATGGTAGGAGGATTAAGCATAGGTACGCACCTGCTTAGGATGCTTTTCATGTCCTAGAAAGACAAGAGAAAATCCATTCTGGGTGTGGGGCTCCAGAGTCTCAAATCCCACAGCCAGCCTGGTCCCAGCCACCCACCCAGACAGAAAAGGTAGCAGGGCTGAGTTAGTGGGGCTAGTGGCATAGCCTGACCTTGAGCAGCCAGTCAGCTGGCTGCTGGCTCTTCTCCTTTATCTCCAGGATCAGCTCCTCCAGCAAAGACTTCTGTTCCACCAGCCTGGTCAGGTTTTCATTGATCAGCAGCAGAATCCGTTTCTCCTCCTCCTCCAGCTTCTGGAGCAGCAGCTTCTCCTCGTCAGCCAGCAGCCGATGCAACTTCCCGAACTCGCTCACAATCCTCTCCCGCTTCTTCTTTACTGTCTCCTTGCGATAAAAAAATAAATGGGGTGAAGCAAGGCAACGTTAGCCAGGAAGCTGAGACAGAGCTGAATTCTCCAGCATCCATACCCAGCATAAGGCCCTGGGAAACCACCGCATTTTTTTGGTAAATGCATTTGTTTAAAAAAAACAGCCAGAGGCTGTGCTTTGCTTCGCCTGAGTTCCAGCAATAGGACTTTGTCCCCGGAACACTTCTGCTCAGCTGCACCTCAGATGTCTCAGTGCAGCACAAGGGGAGTGGGGGGTGCGGCCGAAACCAATAGCAATGGGAAAGCGGTGGAAGAAGATCTGGGGCTGGGGAGGGATGGAAAGGGAGGACTCCCTGAGTGTCTGAGAGTTCTCACTACAGCCAGCAACAGGCAGAGCCTGCCAGTGTTTTAGCATTTTTCATCTGAGGCCTTGAAACTGGCACTTTACTTGAAACTCAAAGCACCAGGAGAACACGTTGTGGTTAGCTAGGACCGTGAAACCTCAGAACACAGGAGATAAATGAAAGGAAACTGAACTGCTTTTATCTTTCTGTCCAAGCACATGATTTCTTGGACCTGAGTCATGGAGGCTTAATAAGCCAGGACGGTCACAACCACTTCCTCTCCCCCACTGCTTGCAAGGGACATTTTTTCCTTTTTACTAAAACAGAGCAACCAGCCTCCAGGCTGGGCAGAAGACGGAGGCAGCTGAGATGAAGCCCTGGAGCCCTGACTCAGGCGAGCAGGGCGAGAGCGACACAGCCCTTTCACAACCTCCATTCCCGGCCCCATCCCAGCCCTGAGGGGGACAGCAGGCAGCAGGGGCACCCCAAAAATCCACCACCCACTCAACCAGGCTGCAGCAGGTAGGCAGTGTTGCTGAGCAAATAGCTAGTGAAGTCCAACGTAACCTATTTTCCCTGTCAAAGCTGATTAATCATCAACACTAGCTCAGCACTGGATAACTCAGTCCAGAAGTTTCGTTTCCTTTTCTTGCAGTTACTTTTACTTCACAGCTCTCACCCTGGAGGGACCTGAAACGCAGCTGTTTCGCTGTATTTCCCTGGGACTGCCTGGAGTTGGGCAGAGGTGCAGTAATTCAGCTTTACTTTTTTTTTTAATGAAAACACTTCTAGTTCCTGTTGCTGTGAAGCAGAGCTCAGTGTATGGATCACGACTGACTTGTAACTCAAGCACACATTGTGAAACAAAAGGCAAATGAAAAATATTCAGTGTGTAGTTGTTTAACCGGCACAAAAGCCCCCATGGTTTCAGTGCAGCTGGCATGCTGCTCTGTGTAAAGTATTTCTTGGCAAACCTTTTCAATTTTTTTACAGAGCTGCACACAGTCACTGAGCTGGTTTCCATCACAACAGCAGGACATGAGGACGTGTCCCATCCTGACAACTATGAAAAATTCATGGAACCGGATAAGATCGTGATTGCTGAGATCTGTGAAGCTCGCTCTTTAAGAATTAAGCCAGGCACCTGCCTTGCACTCCTGGGTTTTCATTTTTTCCGCTGACTCACGCTTCTTCACGTCCTCCACTTCCTTCAGAAGATTCTCCAGGGATTTCTGGAGTTTGACCTGAAAAGGGAAGAAACAGGCTCAGCTCGTCCCAGCAGCACCCACCATTCGGCTGGGCCCCCTTCTTGCCCCTGGGACTCGGGTGCCAGCAGACAGCCTGGGGACCCAGGGACGTTGACCCCACAATGCCAGGCAGTGCCAGCCCTGGCACCCGGACCCAGCAGCTGCGCCCTTCACTCTGCTCCCAGCATTAACTCTCTCTGCTCTCCTTGGGTTTTCCCTGGAGAACAAAGTGACTGCTCCCCGCAATGCCGGGGCGTAGGGCAGCCATCGGGAGTAT